GGGGGGGAGGAGCTTGCAGAGGTAACAACACACACAGGGACCATGTAGTCCATCCGGTGGGGGGGAGGAGCTTGGGGAGTTGACAACACACACAGGGACCATGTAGTCCATCCGGTGGGGGGGAGGAGCTTGGGGAGTTGACAACACACACAGGGACCATGTAGTCCATCCGGTGGGGGGGAGGAGCTTGGGGAGTTGACAACACACACAGGGACCATGTAGTCCCTCCTTGGCGGAGCTTGGAGCGGTGACTACTTTACAACACACACAGGCACCATGGGGAACAGACGTAGTCACCCTCCAGAAGGAAGGACAGTGTCAGCACTACCAATTCAGAGATGAGAGAAGAGGGACCGGGATGACATCCTCCATGCAGCCACTTCTCGGGTATGCGACATTATCTCAGCAGCACAGTACCTACCTACAGATGGGGGTGAAAGGAGGACCTACCTGCCCTTTCCCAGCAGCATTCCTCCGAGAGTTGAGCCCACAATGGAAGCCATCAGCGCCAGGATCCCGTTCCAGAGGCCGAGGTCGGAGGGGGAGACGCCGTGGTCCAGGAGCAGAAGGGGAACCATGCTGAGGGATCCCTGCTCACCTGCGGAGAGTCATCATGTGACATACAGAGGACACAAGGGACCACCGAGAGGCAACCCCCCCCCGGGCCTCACCCAGCTTGTAGATCAGAACGTAGACGATGGTCCACCCCGTTCCTGGCACCCGAAACACACTCCATGCAACGCTGCCCAGACTCCACCTCCTCCGTGTCTCCTTGGAGTTCTCTCGAGGTGCTGGCTCCTCCCCTTTAAGGGCTCCCGCCCACCAAGCGCAGAGCGTCGCCAGGAGATACCCGACCGCGAGCAGCAGAAAGAGCGTCCTCCATCCCAGCATGTCCAGCAGGGTCAAGGCTCCGCCCCCGGCCGCCACCGATCCCAGCTTGTAGGCCACCACCTGCAGAGAGTTGCCTAACCCCACCTGCTCCTGCGTCAGCACCGCCACGGACACTGCGTCCAGCGCCACGTCCTGCATGGAGGAGAGGATGTGCATGAGCAGGAGGAGCCAGGCCAGAGAGGTGAGATCGGTTCCAGGGGGCAGCAGTGAGCACAGGAGGCAGCAGAGACCGAGCCCTCCGGTACAGAGGACCAGCCACAGCCGACGGCCCCACACTCCATCCACCAATGGAGACCACATGACCTTCAGCAGCCATGGCAGGTACAGCACTCTGGTCAGGCCAATGTGGGAGAGGGAGAGGCCCCGGGTGCGGAGGAGAACTGGGAGGAGGCCGGACTGGAGGCCGTAGGGAAAGCCCTGGACGAAGTAGAGGACCCCCAGGGGGACATAGGGACTGGACAGGGAGGAGAAAAGGCGAGCGGCACCAGGGGAAGCCTCAACGTGCACCATGGCGGGGACCCGATACCCTAAAGGATGCG